AAGATTTGTAATCTGAATGTGTCACAATCAATGGTCAGCTGCTTCTGCAGCTCAATAAAGAGAAGGATTCTTGATTTTTGAACCTGTAGCTTCAAAATATTAGGCCCTGGCTTATGGAAACCCATTTTTCTTTTACAATTTATGATTTTGCATGATTATGTTAAAATTCATATTGAAAGCTCACTCTCCACATAAAGCAATCAGCTGAAATGAAGATCAGCCATGGTGGGCAAAGTACCTATCAGATCAAAACTACCTGAAGGTTTATGTGACTGTGGAGGTGGATAGCTGAGTGGAGAAAGGAAAAATGACAGAGACTGAAGTGATGACGGAGAAGCTATCCAAGGAAGATGAGGAGACAAGAGATTGAATGAAAGGTCAATAAAGGAAAATAATGGATTTCAGAATACAACCCGGTTAGTGAGGACATTAATCCATGAACTACGAAGCCATACTTTGGCCATAGCTTGGCTGAAATTTTTTCTGTTTTTCTTCAGTCTCTTTACTTTTATTCTTACAACATCAAATGCTTTGTGGGTTGTCAAAGAAAACCCTTTACTCTGATCAAAATTTCATTTTGTTTGATGTACTTGAGGGAAAATCTGAATTTTCATAACAGAGAACAAACTCATAAATTCTCATTACATCATCTGGACAAGAACTCTCAGTATTGCCTATTTTATGGCATCTTCAGTGGATTGTTCTTTTCAATCTCTTGGCATCTGGTACTTGTTCCTTGAAAGTTATCTTGGGATTTCCTTCCCGCACATGAACCCCACAGCTCTTCACATTTATTCTGCTCTGAAAGATAGGGCGTATGCCGAATTCAATGATCAGCTCCTCAACACTGAGTTTTTCCCATATAGAATAATTTGTTTCTCTAAGATATAGTAGGATCATATGCTCTGCATAAGATTTGTATTGCCAACAAGAAAGAAGAGGTTTGGTTTTTGAATAAACTATTTCAAACTCATCAAAAAGTTCATCGCTCTTGCAATCAGATGCAATGACAAAGCAAAGAACAAGGCTGAAGAAATTGCTACCAATCGGATCAATTATGACCGTAGATGCTCTACTTCGATGGTGGAACCACTCTGGAACTTCAGACCCAGGTAAAGAAACTAAGAATTTCCCTTCAACATCCTGTACCAGAAAAAATCAATCAGTCTTGTATTTACTATCTGAGAGATATATGTATATATACACACAAAGTCTTTTAGAAGGGAAAAAGAAACCTGCTTTTCTTGTTGCTGAAATATTTGGTTATATTCTAGAGCCAGTTGTGGAATTATCAGTTGTGTGTTCAATTTGAAGCAATCAGTGAATATATATTGCCCAGAGAGTCTAGCTTTGAAGAATGGTCTGTTATATAATAATTTCAATGAACTGCATTGATGTGCATCTAACCTTTCTAGGTTCGCCGGAAGCTCAGGTAATGATTGAAGTCTCAAACAATAGTTCAATTTAAGCTCTTTTAGCCTACACAGTTGCTCGATGCTTGCAGGTATGCTCTCAAAATCATGCCCACTTAGATCCAAGTACTCTAATAAGCATAAACAACCAATGCCTTGAGGAATTTCGACTACACGTAAATCTGCTGATAAAGAAACTGAGAGAGCCATGGGATCTGGAATTTGATTTCCAAATTTGGTCCATCCCAAACGTTTAAGCCTTACTAGAAGTTTAATTGAGGTAGGCAGCCCTTTTGTAGCTGCATTGCTTAAATTGAGTACCTCTAAGCTTTCCATGGTCTCTAAGATATCTGGAAATGTTTCGAGTTCTGAGCAGCCATCTAGAAAAAGCTGCTCAAGTGAATTCAACTTACAAATGTTGACTGGAAGTTTTCTGAGATTCTTGCAACCACACAAACCCAAAGATTTAAGCTTGTTGAGATGTTCAATGGATGATGGAATCTCGGCCAAGCTTTCACATTTGAAGAAATTAATGCTTTCGAGATTTATAGCGTGGGAAAGATCTGGAATTTCTTTCAAGTTCTTACAATAAGCAAGATCTAGCTCTTTTAAGCTGACAAGGTTCTGCAGCAATTAACAAGACATTAAAAAATGACCTACATTGAAGATTTTAATTAGATTGACTAAATATGTTTCGGTACATTGTTGATTACAAGCCAAGATAAATCATACCCAGGTTCCACTCCATAGCTGCTCAACATTGCTCTTACGTATCCTAAGTTTAACGAGTCTCTCAGTACAAAATGCGGATGGCAAGGACTTCAGTGAGTATCCAGTCCACGAAAGATACCTTAGCTCATTAGGAAGGAACTGAAGGTCACAGGGTAATTCCGATGCATGTCCATTGATTTTCAGAAATTTTAGATTAGGCATATTCACAAATGCGTTAGGATTTATGCTCAACTTATTCATTTCCTGACAAATCAATGGATATACCTCTAATCATTTCACTTCCCTAATAACCAAATAGTAAGAAATAGTTAGCAAAAAAGCATATAAAACGCATAAAGCTACTTCTGTTCCATGGAAATTAATTCATCTTGTTCTTACTTCGTTTCCTCTCAAGAGGTTACAGACATCCTCTACACAGCATAGTCTCTTTCTTTTCTTCGGATTCTTAGATTCATGTCGAGCAATATACCATGCCATTTCTTTCAATGAATCATGCATCTTTATCTTCCCAGACTTTGAAATGGTAATGAGAGACCTGTCAACAAGATCAGTTATCAAAGAATCTATACAAGAATATTTATCACCATCATCTAGCACTCTTGTTACAACATCCCTGCTATCCCCAGTGAGAAAAAATGCAGTGTCAAGAAATATTTCCCTCGTTTCAGGATCCAGTCCATCATAACTGATTTTCAAGACATTCAGAATTCTTGAATCCGGAACATTTCTGAGCTTTTTCAGTGCATCTACCCAGTATTTCCTGTTCCGGCCACGTAATGACAAACCCAAGACTTTCAAAGCTAAAGGAACGCCTTTGGCATAACGAACAACCTTATTGGACAAGTCAACAAAATCTTCTGAAGGCTGATCCTTAAAGGCATGCTGACAAAAAAGCTTAAAAGCTTCATCATGAGCTAATTTCTGCACCTTATAAACCGCTTCAATGTCAAGAGAATTAAGGACCTGTCTGTCTCTAGTTGTTATAATTACTCGACTTCCTGATCCACCAAGAGGATCAATCCCTCCAAACAAGATGTTCACTTGTTCTGGATCATTCACATCGTCTAAAACAACAAGTACTCTTTTATTTTGGAGCCTATGACTAATAAAAGAAGAAGATCCTATAGTAAGAGCCCCTTCATCAGAAACTTGCTCATTCAATAGCTTAGAAAAGAGCTTTTGCCTTAAATGAAGTAGATCACCCTTAACTGCTGTTTCCCTAACATTATGAAGGAAACAAGCACCTTCAAAATGACTTGAAATTTGATTGTAAATGGCATCAACAATGGTAGTCTTACCAATCCCTCCCATACCCCAAATTCCCACCATATGAAAATCTGGCATCTTGTCAATACATAACGAAGACATAACTTTCTTGATTCTTGAATCCAGTCCAATAGACCCATTTGAAATTCGAGATGATGCAACATTCAGTTTCTTCAAAGTCTCTTCGGAAATTGTTTCAACAAGCACGGAATCAGGTCTACACGGCAAAGAAATATAGGCAGAAAATTTTAGATTGCAGTCCTAAAAGCTCTTTAAATATTGAACAGAACTAGTTTAAATATATGTAAATAGAGTTTTTCTTTATCCACAAGAAAAAGTTAGGTAGGTCGGAAGTTTTAACCTATTGTGTGTATCTCAACTAAAAAACTTAATCTTTACGGATCTTTCTTTCAATATAGATGACTTTTCGGTACAAAATTCAATTTGATCATTGCAATCTTACCAACAATATAATAAGCTAAACCTCATATTACTAAATCAAACATTATAATATACCCACAAAACTGTGAGTTATTTGTCCTCAATAACGTTCAAATTCATGGCCATATGTAAATAGAGTTACCTAATTTTTGATGAATCCCAACCAGATAGATTCCCAGCTTCTGTCAAAGCGAGTCTCCAGCTTTCCACTTTGTTCTTGAAATTACGTTCATGGTCATCAAATGCAGCTCCAAAGCTCCCAGTTTGCTTGCGCACATTAAAAGGGTCAATACAATAGAAAACCGGAATCACAGTTGGCTC